GCTAGAACTGGGAGTCCTTGTCTTAAAGCCCTGCTCACATGGCACATACGTGTTTTGTTTAGATTGAGCTGGCTGGGAGAGGCGGGCCTGCTGGGATTGCAGGCATGGTGCGCTCCAGCCACCGAGGGCCTGCCCTCATATTTGCCCTGGTGTCCCGCCTTCCAGCTGGGACCAACAACACTTGCCAAAGCCGGGATCATAGTTAACAACAGCCACACTTTCTCAATTACCCGGTGCCATCTTGAAAGGTGATTCATTTGAAATACCTTTGCTGACTTAACCAGTAATTCTGTGCTCATTGATTTTTACTTTCAACCCCAAATAGGGCAGAAGTTCAGTTCCCCTTTTCATTAATGTTGAATTCATTAATAAAGAAATGGATGATGTTCTGTAATATAGTTCAACACTTGAAGAAAAGAGTATTCCCAGAAAAAAGTCTGTGGAATCAAATCAACAAATATGTATTGAGTGTTGACATAATACATGAAAATGCTGTGCTGGCCAAGAGCAGACCTTCTGAGGGTTAGTTTTGTTGATATTTTCATCTTGCAGATGATAAGGAGGAATCAGTTCTATTATTACAGACTTAACTTTGACTTTCAAGGGAGGATTGGTTGACGAGAGCATTGGGGAACATATTTTAGAAAGAACTAGGTTATCTTAGGGTTTCCAGTAGCCAAGGAGAAGAATACAAACTTTTCAAGGAATTGTGGTAGAGTTTGAGAAAAATGACGAAATAAAAAACAAACTATAACCTGAATTTTATTGTGCCTAGTGAAAAGAAAGAATATGCAGTATTACCAAGAAGAAAGGAGTCCACATGGGGGTTAGAATAAGAGAGCCAAAGGAAAGATGTGATCATGGTACCCCCAGCTGTCCCAGAGGGGTCCCGAATCGGCCAAGGTGAATTTAGTCTGTTCAGCACACCCTGTAGTAGAGGAGGATGCATGGAGCTTTTCCAAACTAAGGCGCCAGCCATTAAAGCAGATTCTGCATTCACCTGGCAGCCTTGTGATTATAATCAGAATTTGCAGGAAGAGTTTCCAGTCACATGAAAATCTGTTTGGTTTTTTTTTATTTCAAGCCAATATTTTATATATCAGTTTCTTGTTTGGTTAGCATATGTAATTCTCTTAAGCTCAGTTTTGTGTTTTTATAAAACTATTTTTAAGACCTACCAAGTAATACGGCTTCTATCTCCAGCTCATGTTTTTATAACTTTAAAAACCATAGAGGAAGATCTCCAATAATCTCAAATTTTAAGAAAAGATAGAGCTTTTCACTGACTTTTAATCAACCGATCGGTAAACCAAAATGTCCCAAAATGTCAAGAGTAGCGTGTGAGACATGGATTATTTGCCCAGAAGCAAATCTGTTTAACTAGCTTAAGCTAAAAAATAAAAGTGTGGGGAGAAACTCCTTGCTGAGAGGATACAGGCATATCCCATAGAAGCCAAGACCCAGAAGTACACGTGATGGTTGTGGGAGACTCATAAGTAGAAATTGAGAACCTTCTCAAAAGAAGACACTCAAGCGGCCCACACACATGAAAAAAAATGCTCCATATCACTAATCATCGGGGAAATGCAAATTAAAACCACAATGAGATATCACCTCACACCAGTCAGAATGACTGTTACTATAGACTCAAAGAACAACAGATGTTGGCACGCCTGCAGAGAAAAGGCAACACTCATCCACTGTTGGTGGGATTGTAAATAGTTCAACCTCTCTGGAAAACAGTATGGAGAATTCTTAAAGAACTAGAAATTGGATTACCATTTAACCCAGCAATCCCACTGCTATGTATTTATTCAAAAGAAAAGAAATCAGTATATACAAAAGATACCTGTACTCGTGTGTTCATTCAGAATAGCAAACTCATGGAACCAGCCATGTAATGAACATGCATGTGTCTACCCTGAATCTAAAATTACAATGGGGAGAAAAGGTCAAGAGCCCAAGTCACATGCTCCATCTCTGGAAGTTCGTGAACCCTTATCTCCACTTCTTTCTCTTTCCACCTCTCCGTGAAAATAACTGCCTGGCCCTTGGCCTTAGAGTGCAAGAGCCTAGGAAAACCAGCTAGCATCTTGGAAGCTCCAAGTCCAGAGAGATGGACTCAGATTGGCCCAGCTGAGATGCATTCACCACTGGTCCCTTCTGCTGGCCGAGGGATGACGTCACATGGTTGCTTCTCCTTGGGAACTCTGGTTTGAGGAGGTTCTTGGAGAAGAGGACCTCAGAAACAGGGCAGCTTTCAGAGAAGCAGGAGCCATTCCAGAGGTGTGTCCCAGGTGGCGTCTGCAAAGGCAACCAAAACAGTGGTTTTAAAAGTGGAATAAAGTAATGAAAAGCAAGGAGTGGGCAGTTTATTTGTTTTTTTGTTGTTTCCTTTTTCTTTTCTTCTTAGCCATCGGCAAGAGTGATTCCTGCATTGCAAGTTTTATAACAATCATCTCTTAAGAGTGCCTTGATTTTTCAAGGTCTTTAAAGTCTCTTACAACACCAGATGAGGACCCTGTCAGATGAGTCTGAGAGGAAGTGCTGTGATCTAGAGGTGTTAGGGAGAGATTTTAGAGAACTGGAGGTGGGAAATCACTTTATATTTTCCAAAGGGAAGAGAGAAAATTTGGTTCTGGGAGCATGACATCAATGCACTGAAGAAAATATTCAAAAATATTATCTCCAAAGCAATTCAAGAATTAATGATGGAGCCATGCCATGTGCTAGCTGCCAGGAACGTGATGCTGGGCTGCTAGGTGAGGCTCCTTCCCAAGTGAACTCACAGACCTGAGCATTTGGGAAGGAAGATTCCCGTGCAAGGCATGGGGATACTTGCATAAAGATGGACAGTGTTTGTAGGATCAACTGAAATGCCCATCAATGAGGAAATGATTAAATAGATTAGAGATTATACTGTGGAATATTATACAGCATTAAAAAGAGCAGGATAGGTCTATATACACACATGGAAGAAGAATCTATGTGGACTAATTTGAGTGTGTTGTATATATTTACAGACGCGTGCATAAATACAAAAATCTAGAAACATATCAGGGAGGTATTACTGGTGACTTTCTCTAGGGGGTGCGACTTGACACCTACGAGGGGACATTCCTCTTGCACAGAAGAGGGTAGCACAAGCTCCATGGGGTAGCAGGAGGTGGAAAATTTGGAGGCACCAAGACTATGGAACGACCAAAACTGTGGAGGGAGTGAGGGAGGGAGCATTCACCCCCATCTTATAAACTTCCGTGTTGTTTGAATTTTGGACAACAAGCTGCGCATTACTTTGGCAATTACTTATTTTTCTATGAGCTAAGAAAGGTAGATTTATTAAAGAGAAGATACATTCAGAAGGGCACCATGGGCAGGACAGCAGCAAGAGTGTCTGCCACCTGCTGCACTTTTGTAATTCTTAAGAGAAAGAATATAAGAAAAGAGAGAGAAATATCCACCAAGAGCTGTTACTGCACACAATCTAGTTGACATTTTTTGGATTATTATTTCTAAACTGTACAGGGCTGAGAGGATGTGGACAAACTGCACCGCACACTCTGTTCCAGCTCTCCTGCCTCTGTCCTTCAAGAATGCAGGGCCGGGAGGTCCCCAGGACAACGAAGGCATCTCGCCCACCCCCTCCCCACTTCAGTCCTTCTATGCTCTCACTCCCTCTTGCCTGTTTCCCCAATCTCTTGCCTTAGAGACCAGCTAGTCCCAAATCTCCATCCGTGTTTTAAATGTTTCCACCAATTCTGGTGTCTGTTGTAAATCCACACTGCTGTCTTTCCCACCCGTTAGAGTCAGAGGAAGAAGAATGTTTTCAGACTCCATCTGGGTTACAGTTTGTTTGGGGATTATTATCCCTAACCATGTAAAATTAGACACACCTCATTCTGCCACCTCAGTTTCTCTCCAGAAACACTTCTCACATCTTCCCACAAGATGCATTTCTCCATGGCTGTATTTTTAAATTTATTCTGGAAGAGCGTTGGGCTCCTCCCAACTCTGGGATACTTGAAAGCCCTTTCTAGAATCTTGCATTCATGACTCCTGAGCCTTCCTGGCTCCTGGGTCTTTCTTAGGCCTCTTTTGGGGTTTTCCCCATTCAGGAAGAGGATCCTGGCAACTTTACTCCTGCTACAGTTGGTGCAAATAGTTTTGTGTAGAACAGCCTTTTTGAGCCAATCCAGCGTCTCTAAACAATATCAGAACTTTGTTTTCATAGTAAAATTGTGGGTGCCTGCTGTGTGTCCCAGGTCAGCCTGTTTGATTTTTTTTTTCCTGAATATTCTGACCACATAGGACAGCTTTTGAGCACAGTAACATAATGGTTTATTTACAGCAAGTGAAATAAATCTCTTACACCAAAAGCTCATTTCAAAAGGAAAATAAACTGAGATCTAGGTCCTGAAAAAAACAACGGGTAGCTGTAAATACTATCTTAAGTGTCCTCAGCATAAATTCATAAATTAGTTCTTTTTCATCACAAAATGAGCACTGGTCATGAAGTAGCTTAATCTAGAATGACTTTATCTCATAGCAGCTTCTGTCTCCTATCTTGTGTTTCTGTTAAATATATTAAAGATTGGGCCAGGCATGGGGGCTTATGCCTATAATCCCAGCACTCTGGGAGGCCAAGAAAGGAGGATCAGTTGAGCCCAGGATTTGAGACCAGTCTCTACAAAAGATAAAAAATTAGCCAGGCATGGTGGCACACACCTGTAGTCTCATCTACATGGGAGGTTGAGGCGAAAGGATCGCTTGAGCCTAGGAGGTCAAAACTACAGCAAACCATGATCATACCACTGCAATCCAGCCTGGGTGACAGAGTGAGACCCTGACTCCAAAAAAAAAAAAAAATTAAAGACTGTATTTTATTCACTTTCCTTAGTTGTGTCAATAATATTTAAGATCAGAAAACATAATCAAGTGAGCTTGTAGCACAACATTATAGATAACCTGTAAATAAATATGATGACATTTTCTTTTTGCAGATGCAAGTATTGGCATTATGATGAGAACCTGCTCACTTCAAGTGTGGTCATCGTCTTCCATAATGAAGGATGGTCAACCCTCATGAGGACGGTCCACAGTGTAATTAAGAGGACTCCGAGGAAATACTTAGCAGAAATTGTGTTGATTGATGACTTCAGCAATAAAGGTAATGGCTAGAGAATTGCTATTTTGTCTGCAAAATAAGTTGATTATGAGTAATTGCAAAAATATGATTTCAAAATAATTAGTTCTTTAAAACGAATCATTAGCATCTGTTGATAGCATCTACTATCAACAAGTTGACACCGTGCCAAGCATTATATGTAAGTTATTTTGTTTGATGCTGACAACAGTCCTTGTAACGGATGTTTCTATTATTTCTACTTTATGCATAAGGCTCAGAGATGGTAAGTAACTTGCCCGCAGTCAGGAGGTAGTAATTAGCAGCTGGATCCAAATCTACAGGCTTACTAGTTAGTGTCTTCAACCTCCGTTGTATACTATACCAGTTCTTTAGGACTGAGATTTTGCAAAAATGTAGTTATAGAGGTAATCTATTGAAAGACTGAAAAGTTGTAATTGCATGTGTATTGCAATGCCACCTGAGGTTCCGGCCATATCTTCAAACTGAAATCCAAAAACCTATTTCATAGCCTGTGTTTTGCATTTGAATGATGATACAAATACAAATTTGACCAGAAACCATGTACTATTTTTGTTATGCTAGAACTCGTCTTCTAAGCTTTATTTTGTTCTATATTTGATTTAGGATACTGAATAAAAGGAAATTATGTTTTTTATTCTTTATAAGAAGCCAGCTATGACAGCATTTAGGAGACATCGGTTAGTCTTGGTTCAACTTGGCAAGAGAGAGATTGAGCAGTGATTTACAGATAAGTGGGTTTCTAAAGTTCACTTTAATTTTTTTCTTTAAATACATTATTGTTAGTTGAACATCTCTTCTTAATGACAGGAATATGAAAAGGAAGATGATGCAATAGCTCAGGCCCTCAGTCAGCATGTGAAGTCAGAATACAACTGTGCTGTTGAAGCCTACACCTGAATATTTATTTATTCCTCTTTGCTTGTCAGAAAACTGAGCTGGAACTTGAAAACTGGCCAGAGAACTTCGACTACTCAATAACAACAGGATGTTTGTGTCTTGGCAAAAAATGTTGGCTGATAATTTTTGTGTACAAGTAGTGATACCACTGAATATATAATATTAGAAGTTAGGACAGAAACGTAGGTAGCATATATATACTGTTCAAAATGGCTTGGGAGAAGGGCTTCCTCTGCAACTTAATTTAGAACTCTTGCAGTTTGAATAAATCTTTGCTGTTTTTGCAAGGACATGACTATAATCTTGAAATTATACACATATGTCAGCTTGAAGAAAAAGAGTCTATTTTTTCCCTTATCTCTATGTAGCTGATCCTTTAAAAAAAAAAAAGAATCGTTTTTTATTATGCTAGAGATGTGTAGCTTTAATGCTTTTAGTCACATCAAATGCATTTAGCTTAGACATCTTATCTTGGTTGCAACTTTCTATGACAGGAATGTTTTCATTAAAAATACTATTTCTGGCTCAAGACAAACATTTGAAAATATGTTTTTAAAGTGAAACTGTTGGTACCAATAATATTTTAGATTTAGAAAAATCTAAAACTTCAAAATACCTTTTCAAAATCCCCTATGACTGTACTAATTTTAAGAACCTCTACATTCTTAACACAAGTAAAAGTTTAGCATATCCTTAAAAAAAAGTGAAGATATGCAGAGAGGTATTTGCCACCCTGAAATAACTGCTTGGCCTAAGAAATGGAAAACAGAATTTTTGACTTGAGATCTTTGTGTGTTTTACTTTAGTCTTTTTGGTGACCACTCCATCTGTTACAAATCTCTCATCTTCCATCTCCTGCAGCACATTTAGAGGGGAACCGGGCAGGTCTGTTTGGTATGCAGACGTGTGAGCCACCCTTGAACAGAAGCACAGAAGACCTTTAATTAGTTTTTCCCATTTCAAAACAGCCTTAAAATCTGTCGGTCCTATCCTGAATAAAATTATACAGTGTTTGGCTAATCTGACTTGAGTGAAAGTTTAGTTCCCCAATATATTCAGAAAATAAAACTTCAGAGTTCATTTTTTTCCTCCCTTCCCTTCTCCTCTCCTCTTCCCACTTTCTTTCTTTCTTTTTTGAGTTGGGGTCTCACTCTGTCACCCAGGCTGGAATGCAGTGACATGATCACAGCTTACCACAGCCTCTACCTCTTGGGTTCAAGCAATCCTCCCACCTCAGCCTCCTGAGTAGCAGAGACTACAGGCACATGCCATCACCCCTGACTAATTTTTTTTATTTTTATTTTTGTCAAGACAAGGTCTTGCTATGTTGCCCAGGCTGGTCTTGAGCTCCTGGACTTAAGTGATCCTCCCCCCTTGGCCTCTCAAAGTGCTGGGATGATAGGCATGAGCCACTGTGCCTGGCCATCATTTTTCTTTTAAAGATAAAACACTTGACTAATACAGAACCTCATGAAGAAGCTTGCCACTCCTAATTCTTGGGTTCTGGAGGTTACAGTGTCCTCTCCCAGTCATGAGCCTCTAGCAGGGCAGGCTCTTCCCCACATGAGTTCAGCACAGGGGGAGGCTGGGTGGGATGGCAAAGACATCCCAGACTCAGTGGCTCCTACACATGTGCCCAGCGGTCCGCCCTGGTCCTGGCTTCCGTGGTCACTATAGGACCCGCCCAAAGCAGTCTCAGCAGACACCCCACATGGGCAGAGTGATGGGAGACATGCCCAGGAGCGCATCACTTATACCGCATGTCATTGGCCACGGCCAGTCACGTGGTCCACCTGTGGTGGCCAGGAAGGAACCATCTGGCTTCTGCAGGGTCCAAGTCCAGGAAAGGCATAGGCTGGACTCACCGGTTCCCCCTTGGGGCCGTGATAACCAGGAATCTGTATTTGCAGAACAGGCCATCAGTTCAATTCTGTCTGTGAAAATAGGTTTAAGATGTGTCTAGGTTGGTATCCAAAACAGCTCCCAGTGGGATTCAGGAAGGCTTTTACAAAATACTTTAGGACTGCACTGGGCTTTAAAAAAGAAGTTAAAAGCCTTAAACAAAACAAAACAAAACAAAAACCCTTAACTCCTTAACTTGGAGGAATAATTACCCAGATTTTCTGGGGGGAAAAATATGATTAAGCACAAGAAATTAATTTATAATACTTATTAAAACTGGTTGCCAAAATAGAACAATTTTTTTTTCCTCCATTTCAAATACTTATGTGTGGGTGTCTTGCTAATAATATACTCTCTAGAATGAGGGAAATATTAAGTGTACAGTCTGATTTGCCCATTCAACCACTAGCTCATCTCTAAATGCAGCAATTATTTTGTGATTGTGGATTCATGGCCACATTTTTAAACAATTTTTGTGTCCTTGAGAAGCATCTTGTAAAGAACTTAGGAGCTTGTTCTGGCTGTGGTGAGTCAATTTCCTGGACTCACAGTGATACAAACAAAAGCTGTTCTCTTACAATGGGAAGCCAAGATGGAAACTGCCAAACATGCCTGGATTTATAACATAAAATTTCCTCTACTAAATTACAAACGTGTATGTGTGTGTATAGATAATAATTAATTATACACACATTTGTTGATGCTTAAGACAAAGAGAAAATGGGATATTGTTATTGTTATCTGCCAACTTGGTAGGAACTATATTCATCACACCAAGATTACAACTTTCAACACTGATTGTGGCTGAAGAAAGAAAGCCTAGAGAAAAGGGTAAAGTAACCGGTACCTACGTGGGTTCCAGTGACACTGTATAATATTAGTAGGCAGTGAGTCTTCAAAAACCCTGAACCCAGTCTTTAATCACAGCACTTTGGGGGCCAAAGCGAATGGATTGCCTGAGCCTGCAGGTTCCAGACCAGCCCAGGCAACTGGGTGATACCCTGTTTCTACAATAAATAAAAAACTAGCTGGGTGTGATAGCACATGCCTGTAGTTCTAGCTACTTGAAAGGCCGAGGCAGAAGGATTGCTGGAGCCCAGCAGGCTGACACTGAGGTGGCCGTGAGTGTGCCACTGCACTCCAGCCTGGGCATCAGAGTGGGACTCCAACTAAAAAAAAAAAAAAAAACCCAAA